AGCAACAGTCCGAATACATCTCCTTCTATCATTGCAAACCCCAAAACCCCAAAGTAGTTTCATTTCCCAATTTATTTAGAAACAAATAAATAACATTATGCAGCAAATAATAATCTTATCAGTTAATCCAAGCATGTCTTTTGCCGTTAACCCACTCTCCTTGTTTTTTCGATCCCTCCTTGACATTATAGTAAATTCCTATTCCATGCTACTTGTCATTTCTCCAGCTGCCTATATATTTGTTGCCGTTTGGCCATAAGAATGTGCCCTCACCATCTTTCTTTCCATTTTTAAAGTCACCTTCATACCTTCTGCCATCATTCCAGGTCTCTACTCCTCTTCCTTCCATGTTGCTCATTCTGAATTCACCTTCGTAGGTCTTATCCAAGTCAGCAAAGTAGTATTTCCCTGTAAATTTGTTAGATTAAATGTTATTAATGTACCATGACCTTCAAATTAACCATCGACAAAGTCTCCCTCATAAAAACTACCATCTTCCCAGGTGAATTTACCTTTTCCATTTTTCTTTCCCTTGAAGAAATCTCCTTCATATTTTGTGCCTCCATTGTTCCAACTTTCTTCACCATTACCATGCTAGATATCATTAAGCCACTAGCCAACATATCTGGCTCCGTTTGTATCAATAAATGTACCCATTCCGTTAGCCATATCATCCTTCCATTCACCTTGATAGATATCTCCATTGGCGTGAGTCATTCTGCCTATACCACAGCTTTTTCCAGCTTTCCACATTCCTTCATATTTCGATCCATCAGGCCATAGTTGAACTCCTAGACCATCTCTCAAGTTATTTTTCTTGCTCCTAAATTGAAGATATTAATCTCAAATATCAATAAGATTTGGTGTTAACACCTACCATTAGCCTTTGTATTTCTTGCCAGCATCAACATCCTAGAAAAGATCAATATAGACTCTCTCAGTTCCGTCATTGAGCAAAAGATTTATCTATTCTTCAGTTAGAATAAAAGGCTTAGCATTTAAATTTTATCTCAAAGGATCTCCTCTCATATAGCTTTCAGTTCTAGCTCTTTCAACGCCTAAGTTATATTATTTGGATTAGTTAACTTACTGAAAATAGTCTTAAGCTTATCTTGTTTAATTCTCTGGAGCTTCTTTCTTGCAAGGTATGATCTACCAGCTGATTGGATCTTAACGAGAGTTTAGATCTTGAGTTCTCCTCTCTCACCAGTACTTGAACAAGTTCCCATAGCTACTTTTTTGTCTATTATAGTAATTAATTATTTTAATTTTTTATTTTTGCTATCAATATTTTTAAGATAGATTAGTCTATTGGGGTTTTGGGGTTTTGGGGTTTTGGGG